AGCCTGAGTTCTTTGGCTTATGTGCAAACTATTTATTATTTGCTCAGACAGGATCTCATGCAATTGCAATAATTTTTTTTTTTTAAAAGCAAACTTAAAAGTCAGCAAGATTTTTGACTTTAAGTTCTGCATGTAAATTTTGAGATAACATATACATAGGAACATAGAAAAATACTTTAATCAATTCAAGACTTCTCATGATCATACACAAAGTAAACTGGGATTTGTAATGGGATCAAAACTGGCTCTGACACCCTTATCACTGAGAAGCAATTCCACTGAAATTCTTGAGCTTGCTGCTCCAGCTTACCAACTGTAGTTTTGGGGAGAACTTGGCCCATCTTTAGAAACTAGCCCAAATAGCACACTCTTTTCTAGGCCATTTGCTCTAGTGAAGGTATACTCTGTGACCTAATATTTTGGTGGGTGTTTTTTTTTTTTTTTTGGTGGTGTTTTTTTTAATGTTATGTCTTGTTTGTGAGCAAGCACTGTCCATGTATAGCATGCCAGCTAGAGAGGAAAGCATAATGCTGTACAGTGAAGTCTTGAAATTACACCTTGATTTCAGCAAACTTTGGATAAGGTGGCTATAGTGACTATGGGTAAAAAATGTTAGTCTGTTTGCATATGGATAAAACTCAACAATTGGTTATTAGGATATTTGGAAATTGACAATGAAGACATTGTAGTGATATCTGAAAATTAAATAATTGAGATCTTTATGTGGAGCAACCAAGTTTGTAACACTTCATTAAAAGTATTTTATTCACAGAGCATTAAGAATAATATCCAGAAAGTCTGAACTTTCTAAGCAACAGAATTATTATCAAGAGCTGACTGACATTTGGGAAGCAGACATCACTAGTCTTGTAGTGGAATGTACTGCTGATTTAAATGCAAGCGACTTTGAATGTAAATTTGAAACCATGCAAAACTAATGGCCATTTATAAAAGCAAGTTAATTTAGAAACAAGATTCGTAAAATTCATTGCTTGACATATGTTCCAAACCCCACTATACTTTGGATTCTTAGTGGTAGTATGGCTTTACAGAGCAAAAAAAAACCCACAATATTTAAATTCTTCATAGCACATGAAGGATACATACTGGTATAATTTCTCTATCTATTTCTGAGCAGCAAGTCACAGCAACAATATTTTTCCATTCCTTAGCCTTATCTTTGTTTTTGCTTGCTCTGTTTTTGTCTTAAGCTAAATATTTACTATTTTATGCCATATAAAGTAGAGCAACCTGAACTATATATGACAGAGGCAAACCTATGTATACAGGTGATAAAGCATCTCCTAAAAAATCTTACTGGCAGAAAGTATGAAAACATCTATAGTGCATTCTGTGACAGTAAAGTATTTTAGTTTTATGGTTTTCTGTTTTTTTGTATTTTTTTTTTTTTTTCTTTTCCTCAGACAGGAAAAAGATGATGCTGGCAGCTTTCATGTTCATCTAATGAAATTATTCTACATGAAAACAAATTTAAATGGTTTGGCAAATAGGCCAATAGTCATCTTATGTATGTTATCTGATGCTGCGTGTAAGAGATGTACCTCCAGAACTCCAAATGGGAATTGGAAGTCCCACTGGATAAAGTCCTATTAAAATGCAGCCTGTGAGGTTTCTTTAAGGGAAATTCTGTGTAGACTTTTTAGACAAATTTTAAAGTGTTTCTTGAAGTGTCTTTCAAGTCATCTCTACTAATGTGAGCTGTAACTATGGGGACTGAGAGTAGCATCTTCCACATGAAGTCCTACTAACTAGTGTAATTATTCACATGAGAGAATTCATATGTTGTCTTCTATATTTGTGTGATTTGAAGAACTGACATGTACAAGCTATATACTTAGATGGATCAAGTGACCTGGCAAAAAAAGTGTCTTTTCTAGCATAGGAATCTTCAGGAATCTGAAGCATTAGCTATCACAGTGATATGTATCAGTGTTTCTGATACTTCAGTATATTTCCTAGACTTGTGCTTTCAGGTGACATTAACAAAAGTAAAGTTGGCAGCAACAACTAGTAGGTAATGATTTAGTATAGCATATAGTGTGTTTCTGAATACCCACAGGTTTTGCTGTGCCAGTTAACAATTTTTTTTGGGAGTGGATATGAAGCTGTTTTAAACTGTAAATAGTCATAGACTTGGTTAGAAAGCATCAAGTCAACAATGCTAAAAAAAAATAATTTCTTTCATTAGAGTGAAAAGAAGGATTCGTGTAATATTGGTGTTGTGCTACTGTGCAGCTTTGCCCATATGCATGTGCAGAGTTGTGAATTACAGAAATGATAATGCTGTTTATTCCAATTTTCAGAAAGGATTCTCTAAGTAAATTTAGTGAATTGCTGCTCCAGAAATACTTCTAATGACATTCTCAAAAGAAGCACTCAGATTGGATATGTTCAGTGATTCAGAACTGTACTTTTAACTGTGGAAAATTTTCTAAGAATATTATTTAAATTACTTTAAAAAGAAGTAAAAATATGAAATAAAAATAGGTTAAGCATGCAGCTTTGGCTTGCATAGTCTCATTTGATGCCAGCAAGAGTAGGTGCACCAAAGTAAGCATAGTTGTGTAGTTTTGTATAGCCCTGGATTTACCTTTTTTGGTACAAAGATTATACTCAAAATAGTAAGAAAGAGTAGGAATAAGTATAGGAGTATAGTAAGTAGCATAAGTATTTAAATTAGGATACTGCAAAGTGGGCAATGTTTTAGACACAGGATAAGTTTATATATGAAAACAGAAAAAAAAATGGAAAAACTGCACAGTATTCTCTATTAAATGTAAAAAATGTTTGTAAGAGACTATTTCTGGGTAAATCTTGTTTTTGCATGTAGTTGTTGGCAATTATATAGGAATCTTATAGAGACCTTTATGCCAGCTCCTTGTTTGTCTCAGTGAACTACTTCATTTTGTCAGAAAATATAATTATCTATAAATATAAGAAACAAACAAACTAGGCAGTTCAGCTGTATACTAGTGTGTACTTGTGACCATTAAAAAATAAAGTTGTTCTTCATAATATCCCTTTGTCACTGTAATAGCACAAAGTTGCTTATTTTCTTCATATGTGTGTTTTATTGCTAATATTGCTAGTTGGATATTGCTGTTGATATTGCTAATATCTTGATGTAAAAGGGCTTTTTGCGTTGAATCATGTATCATTGTTGTGTACTATTGATGTTTAGAAGCCCTAAGGTTTTTGTTCACTTATTAGTGACTTAAACAAATGTGGAGGAATTAAGTTTGAAAGACATATTCTTTCATGCAACAGTAAGCTAGTAAAGTAACAAGCTTTTCACATTGATTACTTTACATAAAAGTGCTTCATTTTAAAGTAAATAACCATGTGGTAGTTGTTCTCTGCAAACACTTGAACATCTTTTATAGGAAGGTATGTATTTCAAAACATTTAATTTATCCAACCTCACTATAAATTTGTAGTGAAATAAGTTTAGAAGCAGGTTGTTCATAGAATCGTAGAACAGTGTGCATTGGGAGGGACCTTTAAAGATAATCTAGTCCAACTCCCCTGCAATGAATATGGACATCATAGGAGCTTTTGTAGTAAGTGTTGAAAGATCTAAGTCAAAGTTGAAAACCTGGATATTGAATAACAGTTCTTGGGAGGAAATCCCAAGGGTCTTTCTGTCACAGATTATTAGAGATTGTTGTCACTGGTCACTCTCAGGATCTGAAAACTATTTGCAACTGCTGATAGAGCACTACCAATCTGACTTATTTTTTAAAGTTCTTGTCTGGGATCTTACATTGCAGGTATTACCTGAAAGTTCACTTCCACCTGAGAAATGAAGGTGTATTAGCTGTTGAACTAATCCAAGAAAAATTAGTAGGTGCTTCTTGCACATTTTGCCTGTGACTCTGACCCTAGCCAGTTAGCAGCAGATCTTTGTTTTAAATTGTAAAATTAAATCTTCTGACCGGTTTCTTTTCCATATTCTGTGAGCAGCCTATTTTTTTTTCCCCTAAGTATGGATCAAAAGCAAACACAAAAAAAAACCACAACCAAAACAATAACCAAAAAAGAAAAAAAAAAAAAAAAACAAAAAAAAAACAAAAAAAAAAACCCACAACATTTTTTGTATTAATATAATCATAGGAGTTAGAATCTGTGTTTTCTTGGTATGGTTCATCTCTCAATGTAGAGAGAAGGAAATATGAATTCTGGCAGGACAATACAAACGTTGGGATTAACAGCAATCTAACACTTTCCTTAGAGTGAAGTAAAAGTAACATTTCAGGGTGGGGAACAGTGTGCTTAATAACGATTTTTTATTTTTAATGAGCTATTGTTAAACTTGGGAAAAACCTAAGCCTCCAAATGATCTGTAGCACAGTCATTTATAATTTTGAATATCATAGAATCATAGAATATCTTTCCAAACGACAGTTTCTACATCAGTGAAAAGCATTCTTGCCTAACATGAGATATTAAAGATGCTGCCTGGAATTTTTGAAAGCTGATAAAAACAGTTCTGAGAAAGAGGTATGACCTACAAACCTCAAAGCAGTGTTTAAGTGTTGACATTACTTGACATCCAAAGAACAATGGTTTGCAAAAGAGAGACTGATAAGGTACTAATACCTGCATGTAGGCTACATCTTCTGAGAGTGTGCCAGAATTAGTCTGGGAGAAGATGGAAGACAGACAATATAGATTGCTGTATTTTTCATCAAGTGGTTTGTACCATCTGTATATATTTGACATGTGCCTTTTGAGAGGCAAGGAGTGTAACTTAGATCCTCCTAAGCTTTCTTCTCTGCCTCTACACCTACCATTTGGCATAAGATGTAGGCAGTAGAAGAAAACTAAGGTTGCATGGACTTTTTCTTGTCTTAGTTGCAACAGCTGCAAACCAGATGTAGGCTGACATGAATTCTGCCAAAAATCTTTTCCAAGTCTCCCACCCATTTTCCACCAAAGAGACGCCAGTCGGGTGATAGAGACTTGAAGGTCAGAAAGAGATGGGAGCACCCGGTCCTGGCTTTACAGAGCCTGTCAAAAAGAAGCAATCAGAAAACCTAGACAGACTTACCACTTTGGAAACAAAAATTTATGGAGGTAACATTTCTAATTAATATTACAATAGCATGATTTTAATGCAAAATGAAAGGTAACCAGTACATGAACCACAGCAACACTGCAGGAAGTCAGATGATTTGAAGAGTTTGTAACTGGTGTTCACCTAACTGTCATTCCATCTAAGTCTATTTATAGTTAAATCTTCAAAATCTCAAATGCATTAAGCAAAATAATCTTGTCTTTCTGACCAGATCTTTGCTGAAGCAGGTTTCCTAGTGTTACAGTTGTCCTGCTGCATGAACCTCTGTACTGAGAGGGAGTCAGCTTTCTGTGTGCCTGTCTCAGGTTTCTGTGTAGTTCTCCAGCTTTTGCTTTCAGCAATATTTGAATATATCACACAGTTTTTTTCAGAGTATCGTGACTTTTATAAATGTATTCAATGACATTCACAACAAATAAATAAAAATTGGAATCTTTTCCACTGTGTCAGTCTGCTGATGAGATCACACAGCTGACAAAACTGTGGCTGCCAGGCACTTACAATCCAAAATTGACTCAGAGGTAGAATCCAGCAATAGCAGAAATATCTATATAACCAGTTGTCCAAGCATGCTAATATTCACACAGGATCTGTGTGGGCTAACATTGCTAGCAGTGCTGAATTCTCTGCTGGCAAAGATGAAGGACAAATGCTACTCACGCAGTTACATTTCCCTTTCCGTACATCAGTATCTCAGGAACCTGGAATTTAGATGCTAACCACATTTGTAAATTGGGAACCCAGAACTATGAGTATTAACCTGAACAATGACTTGTCTCCTTATGGTTTTACTGGCCATACATTTTTGCTTGCAGAAAAATTACTTGTGTTCTACCCTCAATCAATCACAGAGATCAGTATCCTCCAGAGAGGCATTTGGATGGATACTCCTGAAATCTGTCCCTTTGACCACTCATGACAGCAAAAGCTACCAAGCTTTTACACCCTTGACCCCACTTCCTGCTGCTTTTCCAGGCTTATATCTTCATTTCTAGTATTTTATTTTAAATATGGTATCTGTGTCATCTATAGGTGCATTACTTTAAAAAAAAATCACTTTAAGGAAACCAGTGAGCCATGGATCTTTCTTACAATAAGTACTGACACGGGAAGATGTCTTGGCACATGACCTCATACAGGCACAGCTTTACCCAAGATAGTTAAGAGGACTTTAGCAATGCACTGCACAAAATATATTTCTGTGTTGTACTGCAGATAAGGAGTGTCTATACCCACCTACTTTCAAATGTGCATGGAATGCCTGTCTGATAGTATAAGAATGGTTAGGTCTGAATAATAAGCAAAATTATTTAGGCCTCTTCAGTGATTCTTTGGAATGCTGATATGGGGATTTAAGCATTTAAGTTCAGGTCATCTACACAATATTTGAGGTAGCAGACAAGCAAATTCCAAGGAAGAAAAGCAATGTGCCTGTTCCTGTGATGGAAAAATGCAGAGAGATGTTATAGTGACTCTTGTTTGCCAACTAGTGTGAAGGAAGAAATATGAACTTCTAGGTTTATGGTGGTTTTGATCAGTCTTTCAGGTTCTATGTTGAGTTTGGATAATAGACCTTGGCTCCACACTGTAGTCAATGTGTATGCCACCTAATGGAGCCCTAGCCTAGGAAAACCCTGCTCCACCTGTGGCTGAACAGCTCCCAGACCCACTCAACAACTTCGGTGAGTATCAGTCGTACAACCAGCAGTACACTGTGTGCATTCTGTGTCATGTCAGCAGAAGTTAAAGAGTTTTGGTGACTGGAAGCCTTTAGCTTTAAACATTTTAAAAGAATGACTGTAGCACTCAGTCAAGCATCAACAGTTCTCATTAAAATAAAAGTTTCCTTCCAAACAACAGAGTAACTGACAAAAAGTGAAAATATTTTTATACCTTTATAAAATGTAGATAGTTGACCATAGTTTTGAAACCAGACTTACTGGCCAGTTGGACAGTTTCAGGCATGTTGATGATTGATCTGACACAGAGTCCTAGGGAATGATTTCTTGCAGGTTTGCTCATTTGGATGTTGATGAAGGTTTCTATTTACATCGGCAGCTGAAGTGTGAATTTATCTGTGACATTTTTAAGATGGCTTATGAGGCCAGAATTTGACTAATGATACTCCTACTGATCTCCTGCTAATTTTGGATTTATAGGTGTTGTATCATACCCAAACTTATAAATGTCTGAGATTTTTTTTTATTCCCACTCTCACATTCTCTGTTGGTTTGTGGTTTGTTTTGGTTTTGTCATTGTTCGTGTGTGTTTGTAGTGGTTTTTTTTTGTTTGTTTGTTTGTTTGTTTTTTAAGAGTTTAATCTCTTTTCATTTATTTAAACAGACTTCAATGACAGCCACAGAATGACTGTCACAGAGTTGTATAGTTTGGCTCAGGACCAAATGTACCTGTTCCTCAGAGTAAGAGGAATCAGGAGGGTAATAATGAAACTTTCAGCAAAGCTCCTCTGACTGTGGCTGAAGTGTTCCTTAGGTGGTGAACTGTAGTGGTAGCAAATTTTCTGTATTAATACCAGCTGTGGCATAACCTCCCTCACCTGCACCATGACATGAATAGGAAGAGATGACGTTATCACACGGGATATGCTCACTGATTTCTTTTTCATTTGTGTTGAATTTTTTTATGCTTTTTCTGTTGCCTTTCCCTGCAAGTATAATTGGATTTAATCTTAAAAGTGTACTCTTTTAATATAGAGCTTTGCCTTAATGTATTAGTGAAATTACAGGACAGAGATATTCTTGAAGTGTTTACTCATTAAGGTACTTTATTTACTCTCATTAAGACACACATTAGTCAAATGATACACAGGCTGTACTGGTTGGATGCACTGAGTTGGATTACCCAGAAGTGGTAAGGAGTTGAAACTTCACAGAAATTCTGCAGAGAATTATAAGGAAATGAAACACTGCAAGGTTTTAAGCTAAAGTTTGATGTGTGTGAATGGAAGCAGCAGCTCATGTGTCGGAATTACTGCTGCTTTCCTGATTTACAGCAAAGAATCCATAGGTATGAAAGCAATGGTGAGTTTTTGAAAGAAGTAAGTGTGAAGAATGTAACTTTGGGCGCGTTTTCTATTTAGCTGTGCACTTGTCATCACTTCTTTTTTTTTTTTTTCTAGATTCCCAAGAAGGGAACTACAAGTCAGAGGTCAACAGTAAACCCAGGAAGGAACGAACAGCTTTCACCAAGGAGCAAATCAGAGAGCTAGAAGCAGAATTTGCTCATCATAACTATTTGACCAGGCTGAGGCGATACGAGATAGCAGTAAACCTTGACCTCACTGAAAGACAGGTACTAATGCAAAATATTGGACTTTAAATGCTTGCCCAAGATTTGCCAGTGGTTAGTAGCTCCTCACAGTAGAGCTCATTTGTTACTAATAGATGTGTTGATCTATCAGACTTAATGTTTGTAGCAAAATGATTTTCATATATTATCTCCCTGCTACAGAAATATTTTCTATTTTTATATCTACCAGCTACAGATTAGCTTCATTTAGTAGGCAGAGATGGAAGATAAAAGCACAACTAATCTGTCTGTTAAAATGATGCACATCTATTCTAACCTGTAGACACTGATGTGGCTGAAGAACTGGTAGGTCCCAAATAGTGCATGCACAAGCAGTTCATTTGCCTGTATGCAACAAATATGAGTGTCTTGGTTTAGTCTATCAAGTATATATGCAGTTGCCATTTGTGCAGTTTCTGAACATCCTGTTTCCAGATGGCAGCAAGAATGGAAACACCAGCAAAATTGAAATACAGGCATTTATAACCACTTCATCTTACCCTGCACAGTGAAAGCAGAGGAGACAATGGAATTTCTTATCACTGTTACTGGTTTCCTGCTCACCAAACCATGGTCCAGGGAACACTTCTGCATGTGCTCAAGTTTCATCATGCATGTTGTCACGTTAAATTCTAATGGAAATATTAATGTTAAGCATGAACTGAAGTGCTTCAGGATCTCATCCCAACACACTAAATAGATAGTCAAGTCACATTTCAAATAACAATTACATCAACACACACATTTCAAAAACGTGTCTTAAAGACGTTCAGAACACTGGACTGAAGCACACCAAATCTGATGAAGTATTACTTAGTTTTATCATTAAAATTGAAAGCTTTTTGCCCACTCACAGGCACTCATCCTTTCTTCATGAATCAACATGAGATTCAGGGATTGTTTTAGATAAAATCAGTGAGATGATAATATACTCAAAGGAAGGCACGAAACTAGCACCATGATTTGTGAACTCTAATATGAGAAGTTTTGCAATTTTCTTGATTTTTTTTTGAGACCTGCTACTATGTAGTCTATGTAGTCTACTTACGTAAACTTCTCAGTGAAAAATCTAGCCTTTTCTATACATATGAACATACATTTGCTTTACATAAACAAATGAAAGTTTTTTTTCTTAGAAGGCTTCTAGAGAATGGTTGTTGCTTCCAGCTTGTCAAGAAGCATCTAGTAATTTTTCTTGTTTGACTTGAACAGTTTGCCAAGAACTTTTGCACTGGGGTAATTTTACTTAGATATATTTGGTATATTTGTAAAGAACCCCATTTTGTATCAAACAATTGACAAAATTTTGCCTGTTTCCACTGAGGAAGGTAAGCTGAGACAATTATATGAACTTCCACGCCTGACTTTGACAGGTAAAGGGAGGAGGAATGAATTCATGTTTCAGCAACAAAGGTAGAGTCAGTGTGGAACTGAGCAACAATAAATAAATTTTTAAAAATAGCTCCTGGCCAATTTGATGGGAATCAGTCAGCTGAATTCAGAAGACATATCCCTATACTTAATAATGGTGAATTTGGCCTGGGGACTTAACTATTCTCTCCAATAAATTCTTCATTCATGTCACATAATATTGGTTCTAAGCTTTCTGCTGATAATTGTGATAATTTCTATAGAATTATAATTAATCTATCTAATTATGTAATCTAAGTCTTCTCTGCTTCCCTAGGTCATTACAGAATGACAACTGAGCTGCTAGAGATAACTCCCTTCCTTTCTTCCTGCTTCTCTGCCTTCCTTCCTGTCTTCCTTCTTAAAGGAAGGCACTTTCACCCTTGCTTTGAAATGGAAAGCATTAAGATTTTTAGCTTTGAGTCCAGTTCTGAATCTTGCCACAAAAAAATTGTTTAGATATAAAAAAAAAAAAAAAAAAAAAAAAGAAGAAAAGAAGAAAAACTCTATTGTTAATTAAAAACAAGAAGAAATTGAGAGAAAATTCTGGACATATTTTTCAGTTTCTGTATCATACTAAGCCAAGTAATGATGTCACTTCTAATGTTGTCAATTAGAAATGACAATTTTTAAAAAACAAATACATTGCATTAATGGAAAAATGGTGTAAATAATCATGGAACTGGGTGTGGGTTTCTATGGTATATGGTAGACTTCAGGAGCTGAATGTGGTAAATCAAAAGGCTTGATGCTTCTTGTATAATTTTTTACATCAGCATTATTTCAGTGACTTGAAGAAAAATACTCCAGGGTGAATCTGGTGTGATACTATTTCTTTTTTTTCCAGTTAAGTGTCTTTCCATCATTAGCAGAATGATTATTCTTGAGTGGTATAACAGCACTTATTTGTTTTTCTTACTACTTGCATTAATTACTTACTTTCACTAGCTAACCCAACAGCAGAAATCATATTCAATAGCTATGTTAAGCAGATACAGTTAATACAGTCCTTTGCCTAAAATTATTATGACTGAATTAAAATATGTTGATGGAATTCCAATAAAACACTCTCCCGTGAGGAAGCATGCCTAGGAAATTGTTTTCTCTGGAACAGTCTCCTTTACTAATTTCCCTCTGAAGGCTGCATTGAAGAAAATTGTACCTGATACACAGAAGATTCTTTGTTTGAAATAAGCAAACACAGAAGTGATAACATTGTATAGTATAGGCTACAGACCTATTTGTGTTGGAAAATCTCTTGATCTCTCATGAAACATTGAATTTGCACACAGAAAATTAAAACGTGCTTCAGATAATGCAGTGACAAAAGCTTGCAGTGAGTATTGGGTGTACTAAACTATCTGTTCAGAAAACAGGTTTGAAAGCAGGGCTGTCCTTGATGGAATGTATTGTTTAACATAACTGTTCTTACTATGCTTTAAAAAATGATGAGCACTATATTATTCAGAGGGCAGAAGAACAATAAACTAACCTGGGGAAGGTATTGTTGGGTCACTGTAAATTTACATCTTTCTGTTATTTCCCAAAATGTGAAATAAATCACATAGCCTATTATCTTAAGAAAGCTCTGTCTTCATCTTGACTGTAGTGATAATTTTAACCATATGCCACAGCTTAAAAGAGGTACTGACCAAGTAACACTTCATAATTACCCTTCTGGCATTTAAAGAAGCTGTAGAAAAAAACATATGCCTGACCATATTTTAAAAACTGTGTAAGGGTATTAAAGTTTTCTACAGTTATCAAATTATGGCTCCATTTGTCTTTTGAAACAGCTTAGAAGATCAGTTCAAACATAAATGACTCATGGAAGGCCATTTCTCAATAATAATAATAATGGGAAAAAAACAAACCGAAACATCACAACATATGGATCAAGAGGAGGAATTAATCCTATCACTCCTTAAAAAGGAAAGCTGAGTTACAAGACAGGAGGATGAAATAAGTGCCTCAATTTCCTAGATATGAAGAAAGCACTTTGAGAGCATTATAAGCACATCTGGTGATAGGATGGCTCTATTGTAGGAATTCCAGCAGCATAGGTACATATAATTCCTGCTCTATCTTTTATACAGTGCACTCACAATCCCTGCTTAGCCAGCAGTTAATACTTTTCAGCTGGCAGGCCTCCATTAGATTTTGAAGAGCCAGTTATACTAAGAACTATCTTAGCTCCCTAGATATTTGTAACCTTGACAGGTGCATTCTTGGCTTTTTTTTTGTACATCCAGATAAACTTGGAGAAGGTTCCATGCAAACTTTTTAATATCTCACTGTGGGATGAGGACAGGAAGCAGCTGCAGTGGGGTATCAGAGGCGTGGCAAAATGGACATTTTTATGGAGTTGGCCCTGCCAAATATAGAAAGAGTAGGAGATCTTTCCACCTCACAAGATCTTTTTGCATGGAGCTAATCAAAAGAGTAATGTTGCAGTTCTGCAGGCTAGCTAGGGTTACCGGAATAAACAGTCAAATATGTAGTGCTTCTGTTTGCCAACACAAATGGAAAATCCCACCCAGACATACTAAATTCTGCTGATGGCAATGGGTTTTTTTCTTCTTATCTTTAATTTCCAATACCCGCCAAGCAGCCAGCAATCATTTGTAAAAGGCCTAAAGCCATTGATTTTTGCAGAGACAAAGGGCAGAATTTTGTTAAAATGAAGTATGGTTTTGCACCTGTTTGGCTTCTGTGAATGGTGTACCAAGATGGGATGACTGACAATGGAAGAAGATTTCTAATGCCTTTTTCTAACAGGAAAAAAAAGTAAGCAGCATTGTTATTTAAATACATTTGGACAATATTGATATAGGACCATACCCACAATGTAGCATTGCATTGTTATGACTATAAAAATAGTAAATGTTTTCCATTAGAAGAGTTTCCTCTAGACCAAGTTACCTCAATCCCTCATCACAAGTGGCTTCATTAAAATCCTTTTCAGCATTGCAGAGCTCAGGGGAGGCTAATGATTGCATTTTTTAGACTGGTAAAGTAAGAGTAGCTCCCCTTAGTCATCTGGGTGAAAAACCAGGGAGTTCAATGTTGCTAGGTTAGGTGTTTGTTCTGAACCACCTCTGGAAGAGTAAATGCGTCTTCATGCATCACACAGTATGACTACTTTCCTACTTTTGGAAGCTAAATTTCTAAGATTAAGTATTGAAATGATTCACCTTTATACTCTCAAACAAAATCAAGCAATGGATTGATATGACAATCTTGACCCTATCTATCTGATTTATTGTGCTGTCATATCATCTTTGAAAGGCAGCTGCTCATTCCAAGCTTCCATGTGTTAAGCACTCTCTGTACACACTGTAATAATGAGCCTGTGTGGCTTGAAATCCTTTGGATTGTTTGTTTTATTTAAAGTAACACTCTTAATAAAATAACTCACTAATACTTTTATATTTGTCTTGAGCAATATACATACCAGCACTAAGAGTTACTGTGCTAACTCAGTTTGTTCTTTCTTAGGAAAGAATGCTCCTGGCAAACTTAATTATAACTCATGTATAATTTTGATTTATACAACAATTCTTTTTAAAAATGTACATGGCAAATCTTCAACC